AGTCGTTCTCCTCACCAGTGTGCTCCGCTTGAACACGAAACCGCCCGTTGAGCACCCTAGAAGATGGCTTGTCTCTCTGCAGCGTCATAAATTGTAGAAATTTTAACATATGAATATCGCGATTTTGGGCGGCCAATTAAACACATTGATAGCCAGACTTATTGGGAACATCATCCATTCGCATAGTTGAGGCGGATGACTGGAGCTCCAAGACGCCAGAAGCTCTGTGCGTTGAAATGTCAGTCCTAATGACGCCAGGGGCTCGCGAATTAATGGCCTTCTCTTCTCAGCAAAGAACAGTAGTGGAAAGCGAACTATACTGTCACTTCCCTTTTGCTTGATTAGACTGCTTTGTATTTTATAAGAATGCACCTGCAAGTAATTTAAGCAACATAATAATATATTGTTGGAGAATTGTACGTGTCGGAGTGCACAACATTAATTCATATGGAGCACGGTGGATACAAACTGGGGCTTCGCATGTCTTCTTGTTCCCCGCTGCAGTCTGCGGTGGTGAGCTGCTCCCTATCCGGAAGTTGCAGTCGCCGTTTTCTGTGCCGATCGTCACATGACGCACTGCCAATGCGTTTGCTCTGTTGACCAAGTAACCTCATTCCTATAGCGTCGTAGGTGCCATGGATGCGATTCCAAAGTGAGTAGGAAGTGAAGGTCTAATTTACAGACATGAGTGAATTAATTAAACCAAAGCCATCCCACGTAGCGTGATCGCATTCGTTATCGAACCGACCTTGACAACAGATCATGATTGGATGCAGGCGTGAGGCTACAGCTGTTGCGGTTGTAATTGCGGGGTGAGGTGATGACTGTTAACATAACATTTTTGAAGGCAATTGTGAGCAAATTGTACAGAACAAACGACTTGCTGGCAACTCATGAAAATATATGTGCCAAAGTCATTTGTATTGATATTGACGTACACTTGTACTTCCATGGCACAGCTGTTTTACTCATGATTCTATGCGTGATTGTATTCCATGGGCCACCAATATCTAAACCAAAGATATGAAGGAAAAAAATGTCACACACACACCAATCATTAAGTTACGCATCTCGCCTAACAGAACAAATTCCCACTTTCCATACCTTCCTTACATATGAGGAGAACTGCACTCATTCGATGGCTTTTCCTCACACCATTATAATTTTTTCGAGATGGTTTCGATTTCCCACGCCTCGCTTGCTTAGGTGGGTTTCTTTGGACCCGACCGCTTATAGTTTGATGGACCACAATCGATGAACGTGTACCGAGCATGACAACCGTGCTAGATGAATAATTATGTCAAAGGGCTTGTCAGATGGCAGTGTTGTGCATGCCCGGTGACCAGTCATGTACGGTTCAGGTAAAGCTTAATGAAAAGGTATGCATGAAGGTGTGTTCATTGGCACATTGGAGAAGAGCTAGCTTATTATAGAAATGTTCATGTCCGATATGCTCAGTCTTGTCACCCGGCTGACACTGGACATACCAGGTGCGAGGAAAATCGCATTACGAATATCGATAATACAGCATATGTGCCTTCTGATACCCTTATATGCACGAACACTTTTGAAAAGACATTAATTTCTGTTAGAGCATAATTTGATCGGCGAATTTGCCGCCAAAGAACTCGTTCCAACTGACACCCACTCTGACACACACCCCGTTTCTAGACCCGCCGACATAGACTCGCCGCGTGGGTCACCGTCTCTCCCGGCTGACACCCCCCCTCCCCGTTTTCAGACCCGCCGACATGGAGTCGCCGCGTGGGTCACCGTCTCTCCCGGCTGACACGCTCGCTCAGCACGGAGCAGATCAGCGCGCCCCCTGCCGGCCGCCGCCGCTGGGTGCTCTCCGAAGACTCCGACGAGCTGTCCACGCCCGCCGACAGAGGCGCCACCGTCGAGCGCGGTGGCGCCGGGCGCGCCCCGCCGCGACGCACGGAAGACCGACCAACCTGTGCCACGGCCGGCCTGTGCACAGCCAGGGGAGCGACCCACACCGGCGCGAGGCCCGCCAGTGCCGTCAAGCGCAGTGTCAGTCTGTACAGGAGCGCTTCGGCCAGTCAGCTGCACGTGCCACAGTTGGACTCCTTGGAGAGCTCGTCACCGGCCTCATTCGGAGAATTCAGTGTTTGGAGTCCCGCAACTCAACTTGACAGTGCAGGGAGCTGCTCAGAAGTCAGAAACACAACCGGGAGCAAAGTTGTTCGCGAGGAGACCAGAGCAACCAAGCAGCGTTTGCCTTCATTGCCTGAGGAAAGTGAAGGCGACGTGAGAAGGAAGCGCAAGGTGCCAGTTAGGGAGCCACGGCCAAAAAACAACGAGGCTGTTCTGAAAGATTCGAAAACTCTAAGCCGTCTTCCTCAGGCCCACAAGATCAAAACAAACAAGAACTCGTTAGATAATGACAGCAGGTCCAGTGCTAAAACGACCCGCCAAACGCCTCTTGAGACGAAAAACTATCGTCCCACTGCAGCGACCCTCGCACACGAGGACGACGATCCATCTCAATGTACCTGGAAACCCCCGCTAAGCCACGGCTGCTCAAACGAGAGTGGCTACGACAGTGATGGAGCGAGGCCTATGGAGGATTCCCCGGCCGGAGGCAGTTCAGCTGGCGCATGGAAGCCGCGTTCTACAAGCTCCTCTTCTGGGAACGGCCTCCGCCCACTCGTCGGCACCGCCTCTGCTAAACGACGTGATCCAGCTTCTGTTGGTGATCCTTACCGCCCACCTGCCATCTTCCCTCGATTGGGAAGAGGCGGCGTAACCCATGGGTCGGAAGGCGACGAATCAGACGCCTCTGAGCTACCCTTTGCCTCTCAAAACAATGATACTATTCTCCGGCAGCCCAAGGCGACGAAGGAAATGGCTGCACGTGATCTCGCACATCCAACCAAAACAGATCACCAGAAGGCCACCAGAAGCAGGCAAGATCTGCACCGACAGCAGCCGACGAAGCCACAACGAACGTCCCTCATTCCAAAGGAAGGGAACGAAATGTCGACACAGACTTCTCTGCCGTGGGATGCCAACGTGTTTGACGAAGCTTCTCCAGACAGAGAATGTCTGAGTCTGGAGCCGAATGCTGGTAAAACCATGGGAGGGTCGGAAAGGTGGCATACTACGCAGGGGTCACAGCCCATACCACCATGGGACTGCCCCGAGGTCGCAGTCCTCACTACAGGGACGACACCAAGGGCCGCAGTCCTCATCACACAGACACCAACAGGGGCCGCAGTCCTCATCACACAGACACCAACAGGGGCCACAGTCCGTACTTCTCAGAAACCACGAGAAGACACAGTGTGCATCATCAAGACGCAGGCCGGGGACGCATTCCTCATTTATCCGATGCAGCCAGAAGTCACAATCCTTTTCATTCGGACAACCTGCGAGGCCACAGTCCCTACAACCAAGATTCCAACAGAGGATGCAGCCCCCAGTATGCTGAAGCCGGCCGAGGACACAGTCCATACAATCAGGATAACACCAAGGTTCGCGGTCCGCCTCACAAGGACGCCAACGCCGGCCAGCACACCGGCCGCCGAGCGGGAGCGACAGTCAGCGACTCCTCTTCAGGTTCCACTCCGGATCCCCCGGCCGGGGCTGCGGTTGGCGCGCTGAGGCAGGCGGTGTCCCGGGCCCCGAGGAGAGCGTGGGAGCGAGAGGAGCCGCGCCAGGCGCTCAGCGGACCGCGCTCTGCCTGCGCCGAGGAGCGGAGCGGCAGCAGTCGCTCGCCCACCCCCACGTCAGCGAGCGACGGCCACCGCAGGCGGGACAAGCCGCCGTCTCGGCTGCAGGAGACCGGAGCCAGGCGGGGCAAGGTGGCATCGCCACAGCCCGACGTTGGCCACAGGCAAGACAAGCTGACCACATTGAAGCACGACTTCGGCATCCGTCGCAGCAAGCTGTCGTCGCTGCCACACGGCGTCGGCAGCAGACAGGGGAGCCGGCTTTCTCTGCCGCATGACGCTGGCAAACAGAGTAAGGCGTCGTCCATGCAGCCTGGCGATGACGTCGGAGAGGGAAGACTGTTGTCTGCGCAACATGACCTCGGAAGCAAGCACAGCAGGCTTTCACCTCAACCTCACGGAGTTGCTGGCAAACAGAACAAGCTGTCGACCAAGAGGTTGATTGATAGCAGCCGGCAGCCCAAACTGTCGCCAGCGCAGTCTGATATCAGCAACAAACAGTTCAAGCTGCTTAGGATTAGAAAGACAAGAGCAGACTCCCTTGGCATCTCCATTGCAATCAACGCCGACCGAGATTATTTCATCGCCGAGATGGAGAACCGTGGAGCGTTGCACAGGTACTCAACGGAAGTTGATTGACAAGCTTGAGGGAGATCGGCTTCAAGGAGCGGTGTTCGTACACAAAAAGAAAGACATGCGTTCGGTTACTCGCTTGTTTGCAGCAGCAGATCTCAGCATACGTTTGTTGCATGATCTCGATCCGTTTGGTCATCAAATATATAGCTCACACTGAGTTGAACAAGCTCCTAAAACCACAGTATTACGTTACGTGTGCATTGGGCTACTTGATCTTATGTTCGCTTTTTAAGGAACGATATATTCATGCGCTTTATTTCCGAGTATCACCCGATGCATTTTTTATATTTGTTCTCAGGGACGGGCGCTTCAAGGTGGGCGACGAGATAGTGAACGTGAACGGCCGCCGGCTGCGCGGCTGTGCCCTCGAGACGGTGCTGGACATCCTGCGCGACCCTTCGCCCGAGCTGGACATCGTCATAGCCCGGGACTTCAACCCGGACCGGCTGAGCCAGCAGCAGGCCGGCCAGCACGTGGTGGTCATCTCTGTGCCGGACAGCAGCGGAGCGGCGACGGCACGAGACGACGCCGATGACCCGGACGACTCGCTCGACTACCCGGCAATTGGCTCCGAGTTGTGTGACGCCTCCGAAACAGAGGAGCACCAGCGGCCAGAGTCGGTGCTCTCCGGTGTCTCCAGTGCTCAGCCGTCCTCCCCGGTGAGAGGGCTACTGCGCAGGCGCCATGATCCGAAGTCGGGCACCAAGTCATCCGGGTTAGGAACCCTGCGCCGGCCCAAGTCGCTGGCCACTTCCCTGCTGACGCTGACTTTTGAAAAAGGAGCTGGAAAGAAGAGCCTTGGCTTCAGCATCGTGGGCGGACGAGATTCTCCAAAAGGCAGCATAGGAATATTTGTCAAGACGGTGTTTCAGAATGGTCAAGCAGCTGGTAAACTCATAGAAGGTGAGTCTAGCTTGCTGTATTGGTTTGTTGTGGTGTTTCGGTTCAATGAGTGGTTCGTAGGGATATTGGGCTTGCCGGTGGCATCCGGTGAGTTTCATGTCTACTCTCCTGCATACATTAGCTCTTGAAAAAGATTGTTACACTTTGAGAGCCGGCTTATACCAGAGCAAGCACTAATCCGACAAGTTTTCCGATTACTTCTCAATCGGTTACCGTCGTATTACCTCGATTTCCTCTTGGCATCATATCACTCCTCTGAAAGGCCACAGATACCTGGGAACAAATAACTAGCTCCTCATAAAGGGCGCTCCTTGGCGTCGGTATTATCATTCCTGGGGTACCTCACGTCGTTAAGCTTATGCTCCCTTTGTTAACTTCTGTTTATCTCTGGTGATGGATCGGTTCAGCAGAGTCATTATGTTAAAGTAACTTCGTAATGCAATGCTTACAACACATTTCAGCGTGGCTGCTTTACAGCGCTTGTATGTGGAAACAATGTGGGCATGGAGCATTTGTAAACGTCTGGGCGAGGCGCACCGTTACCGCGCTTCTTGAAACAAGATCTTACCTGAGTCTTCTCTGTCAAACATGCGTTTCTCCCTTTCTTGTAACCCGAGCACCTTACCATCTCGTGTGCTCTGCAGGTGATGAAGTGCTGACTCTGTGTGCTCTGCAGGTGATGAGGTGCTGGCTCTGTGTGCTCTGCAGGTGATGAAGTGCTGACTCTGTGTGCTCTGCAGGTGATGAAGTGCTGACTCTGTGTGCTCTGCAGGTGATGAGGTGCTGACTCTGTGTGCTCTGCAGGTGATGAAGTGCTGACTCTGTGTGCTCTGCAGGCGATGAAGTGCTGACTCTCAACGGAGAGAGCATGCAGGGACTCCTTCACAGCGAGGCTGTGACCCTGTTCAAGTCGGTCCGGTCGGGTCAGGTCACGCTCGAGGTGGCTCGCAGAGAAGGCACGGCAAGTTCCAGGTAGGTCGCACCGACAATGACGATGGCGCGAACACAACATGTGAGCGTTATGCAGGTTATCTGGCCTCCCCACTGTCATCCGCGCCCGCCGGCCAAAGGCGGAAAGACACTTGCTCCCGTCACCTCTGCCTCACGAGCAAAACTTTGCAAGCGCTGTGTGCATCGCTGGTTCACGAGCAAATTCGGATCCTTGTTTATACCAGCCGGCTATGGGTTACTAGTTTTTGATTTATCAATTACTTGCGTGTGTCATTGAACACACTTTGTTATAGCCAGGGGAACTTGAAAACCAGAGCAACTGTCCTTGGACCTCAACATGGGACCCATACTGTTGCAAAACAAATAAGGCTACTTGAAATGTTTAAAAAAAACTTTGTAACAGTTCTGAAAAAGTTATCATGCTGTACGAGATACAGCACTCTTTGAGTTCTTCAGTTACAACATAGCAATGCTGACACCCGCGAGGACGGATGTGGACGCTGAGTCCCCAAATTGGAGAATCTGCCAGTCATCCGGGCATTCTACCATTCTCGTGATCATGTCAAGCACATGCAAGCCGACCACAGAGTTCTAGGGACGCACATCTCAAAATATGGGACGTACCACCCCATGACGCAGGGTGATGGGCAGCATATCAGCGTCTGACACAATCAGCTCCCAACAGTATTTGTGGCGGCAGAATTTCCCAGTCACGGTGTCTGGAGTGCATCAACGCCTGGTAACACTTCAAGCGCTGCTGACCTCACCCAGTCTGGACGTTTGTGACGGATGACACCCGTATTGTGGCGGCTGGTTGTGACTTAACGCCAGACGCTAACGATCGCTTGTCTCAGCTTGCGGTGAGGCCTCTGCTAATCACTCAAACCGGAGGTTAATGAAACATACATTGCTTCAGAACATCGCGCGAGGTGTGTGAATTCCATGGTCGCCAGTGCAAGCTTTCACGCGGTGGGAGGTGGCAGATAACGTCTATTACAAAAACTAAACCTGATAATCTCATGCACAGTTTTGGTGCTTCCCACAGGTCGTGGGCAACGCTTGCCACAGCCAAAAGTATCACGGCTTTAATGATGGCTCACACGTCTTCAATGTTACCCGTGTCAGTTTTTGTGACGACTCTTATGACATTCTCGAGAGAGATTTGAACGAATGTGCGACCAGGGCCAGAACAATGAACTTTGCTTCGTTTCGGGAGCTCGTTCAGAGATGCAACCGACCTCGAAGGGCGCCACTTCTCGCCGTGCTTGTTATTGTGTCAGTCAGTCTAATCAGTCAATCAGTCAATCAGTCTAATCAGTCAATCAGCGCGTCGGCGGAGTCGCGTCCACTAGGCTGGTTCTTGTACTTTAAAACATGTATGTACTTATCATCCATACCGCCTCCTATGTTCCCTGAGTGGTATTCAGTTCAAGCAACCCTCGGCTAACGGTTCACTGCCGCTGGATGCGAATGCCTCGGCGTTATTATCGCTCACTTACCGCGTCAAGGTCACTTCGTAATGGACCAGCTGTGCCGCCGTTAATTTAGATACAGTCTGACAGTGTAAACTACGCGTCACCCACCTGCTTGTGTTTGCCAGTTCAGCCGAGCCCTCAGTGGCGCAAGTCTCCCGCAAACCGCTGCTGCTGGCCGTCGAACCGATGTGTATCAGGCGGAAGAACGCCAGGCACGCGGTTCCGACCGCAGCGCCATCTATTACTTGGTCGTGTACTGGGCTTTGATTAAGCGTCACACGAGGCGGCAGCACTGTTGAAGTGCAGCTCACTCTTTAGAGCGCCAGTGCTTCCCGTCTGTTGTAGCGAAGGAAGCCCTGCGGTAGGCAAATAGCTACGATAACAACATCAACTTTCCTGCTCTCCTCCCTTTGCTAAATTTCTCTCCTACTTTGCTCTGTCACATCTGTTATAGTAAATACCTTCTAATATGCTCCCTTCCAGATGAGCGGATGCTGAGGCCGGCCTTCTCACTTTTTACTCGGCCACTTCTAATGACTTTTTATAATCTGAGTCATTCTATTTGCTTTTTTGAGTCGATACCCGTGTAACTGAGTGAGAATTCAGTCTTGCCAACAACTTTCGAATTGCTTGAGCATTATTGCACACGGAGTGCCACGTTTTGTATGAAAATGTGCCCTCCACCAGGGGATGTTGTCACGCACGCTAGTGCTGGTTGTCAAATCATTTGAAGCTTGATATGCTCTTTATTCTTATGCATATCTCAGCCCAAAATATGGCAAAAACAGAAGCTTCAAGTGTTTCTATAGAATGAAAAAATGTGTTCATTCAGGCAGTAACCATTTATGTAAATCCACAACGAGCTTCAACACAAATCGTGAGAACACGCAAACGGCAGCTATACGAACTACATACAAGATGTTCAGGCACATCGCTAAGCCCCAGCATAAGTTGTGACAATACGCAAACGGCTGTTATCCAACCACGTGCAAGATGTTCAAGCACGTCGCCAATTTTGGCCCTCCCGTTGATCACCAAGATGTGAGGAGCTTGCAGTGCATCTCATAAGGCAATTGCGATCCCATAGAAGCAAAAAACGATAGCGGTAGGTATCTGGAAGCATAAGCAAAGAATTGTGAATTTGTTCATAAAAAACATCATACACCTTTGTGTCGTCTTGTTTCCCCGTAACAGGACGCACCTAACGCTGCAGATTACAGGGACAACGAGCTTTGCATCAGCATAGGCTTTGTAAATTGCTAACCTTTAGGGACCAAAACACAAGCTCCATGAAATTGTCTGATGAGAATCTAGCTCCACTAACCTCGGTTTCTTTTTGGATATAAATGCTCAGCACTGCCCCGGTTTGACAGTATGAATATATGGAATTAATGCTCCCTTTCCGATTTCTTTTCAATACTCACTGCAAAGTAAGGTGACCAATTCGGTCTCGGAAGCATCCGACGTCACCGCTTATGAGCCTGTGGCGGCGGTGCCACAGCCAGCCGTACATGAGACCGGTGTTCTTATATAGGTGTAGCTCAGGTCATAAGCTGGCTATCATTGCACCAGCATTTCTTGAAAATATACAGTTTGGTAAAGTTCTTTGCTATCATTCGTGCTGAACGTTTAGAATAGCTGATTGGACGCTTGCGCCTTCCTATTTTCTGCCTGCCGGTCCGTTGATTTTGGCGGATCCGCCGTTCGACTTGGGCCTGGTTCACAGCCGATCGGACGGCACGCTCCTGAACCTGACCCCGCCGTTCATGTGCCTTACCGCCGTGAGTCGGTGACGAACTGTGACGCCGGCCGCCGCCGAACGTCACGACCTGGCCGCCGCCGCGCCCAGTGACGCTCGTGCGGCTCGTCTTCGCACGCTTGCGCAACGGCGGGTGACCTTCCGTGCGCGGCAGCCGGGGGCGTGTCGTCTGGCGCTGCGGCGGCGGCGGCGCGACCGAAGCCTCCTCGCGGCCCGGTCCGTGCCCCGGCGGCGCTCTGCGGCACGGCGGCGCCTCAGGGCAGCGTGACGACCGACACGACCTCGGTGATCGATGCCCTTACAGACGCTGAAACACAGCGCTCGGGGATCTGTCATTGTGGTAACCCTGGGTGATGTAATGCTTTCGCTTTCTGCGTGCGACCTCCCGGGAAGATCCAGCTCGCTGCCTGTAATTTTGTCGAATAACAGATTGGTGATGGGCTTGGGCAGTTATCAGAGTGGTCTGTTTGTTGTCTTTCAGGCAATTGATGTCGAAGTCCTGTGATAATCTTCTGAGGGTCCAAGAATGATCCACCGCTGTCAACATTCTACGGCACCCTTCACTTCGTGAGCTTTGGTAAGGCTAGGAGATCAGCGCGAAGGGAGTTCGGTTGAATTCTGAAAGACGGAAAGCAAACAAAAGCGTTTCTCGCGTAAACTGTGTGAACCCTTCAAATTGCTTAAAGGTTATGTCATGCTGCTTCTAAATAAGTCTGTTGTCTTCTGTACTATGCGCTGTAAAATCTTTTCGGTTCTTGCAGGTGCGACAAGGGCTGCATTTCAGCCTTGGAATAGTCTGCATGCAACGATCGTGTTCCCTGGAGTCCTTCTTCACTTTATTCGTGATTTCACCTCACCTCCTGGACTTGCCTGAGACTTGACATGTTTCTGAGGTCCGCTGCCCCGCGTGTGACCTCTCCCGGAACCTGTTGATAGACCCAGGCCCCTGTGCCCCCAGGTAGCCAGCTATCCGCGGGCCGAGGAGCCGGGTCTTCGGGCGATTCCCCGGTAGCTGGCAGCTGAGCATCCGCTCCTGTCCGCGGGCCGAGGAGCCGGCTCGTCAGACTATTCCCCGGTGGCTGGCAGCTGGGCGCTCGCTCCTGTCCGCGGGCCAAGGAGCCGGCTCTCCAGACTGTTCCCCGGTGGCTGGCAGCTGGGCGCCCGCTGCCGTCCGCGGGCCGAGGAGCCGGCTCGTCAGACTATTCCCCGGTGGCTGGCAGCTGGGCGCTCGCTCCTGTCCGCGGGCCAAGGAGCCGGCTCTCCAGACTGTTCCCCGGTGGCTGGCAGCTGGGCGCCCGCTCCTGTCCGCGGGCCGAGGAGCCGGCTCTCCAGACCGTTCCCCGGTGGCTGGCAGCTGGGCGCCCGCTCCTGTCCGCGGGCCGAGGAACCGGCTCTTCAGACTGTTCCCCGGTGGCTGGCAGCTGAGCGCCCGCCCCGGTCAGTGGACCAATGAACTGTTGTCCTCATCAGGGGCGCTGGTCCGCGCAGGGCCGCCTCGTGGACCTCTGCTGCGCACCGGGGGCCTATCGTTGAGTGGGCAGATCTCAGTGACGACTGTGCAAACATTGGTACTGATGCAATGATAAACACTTCAGCACCTTTTATGAAGCGGTGAGCATTGGTCGCGAAATGGAGTTATATGTGAGGGTGTTTTTCTTCCGTAGTTGTACGTGTCCAACTGAGGACGGTTAGGTTTAAAACAGTGACCGAGTTCACGCGCATCTTTCAGAACGCCTCTGCTATCATTACATCTACAGTGAACGCATTCATAAATATGATTTCTTGCTCCCGCCTTAACGAAAACGGCTTGTGCGATGAGGCTTGTACTCTGTGTTTTTATGAATATTTACTTCCTAAACGTCCACGTCCTTAATTCATGAGTGAAAAGTGATCACCGGGCATGTTGAGATGCTTGAATTATGCAACCCTTGCATACGCGTCAAAGCAGGTTTGATAGTTCCCTTATGAAATGGAGCGATTGTTTTATGGTTCTCTGCCTGTCTGTCTGTACGCTTCTTGCCTGTATTTGTCCCTCTAATGTTTGTTTGAAGATCCGTACGCATACTATAAAGAACAAGTTAAAACCCATGGACATGCAGCTATGAGGGTACATTTTGTTTTTGTTTGATTGAAAAATAACCGGGCTGCTTGAGTCGCGCCCTGAATTACGCAGTAGCTGTTATCACCTAATGCTGATAAAGACAATGTCTTTGCTGCTAAGTTCATCTGTTGACTAAACCAAGGGGGAGGTTGGAGACTAAGTGATCCTTGCTGACGTATTTGTCGCTTGTGTAGCTTACTGAAATAAATAAAAAAGAGCTCATTGAAATATTTCTTCTGAATGCATCTCACGATGAAAGCAAGGGACTTGCAACTACGTGCATTACCACGTGCCGTAAACGCACGCAGAAGGTATGCACCTGCGCTGCACCAGGCCCAGACGCGTTAGGCATAGGTGACATTCGTGCGCCGGCCTGGTGTCACGGATGGCATCAGTCGGCACTAACCATGAAAGGAACCGGGCATGCCACTTCAGCCGTCCTCGGCGCCAAAGAGTTGGGTCTGGGCGGGACCGGGCCCGGAGCGGGTGTCCCGGGGGACCGCTGTCGGGACCTCTGCTGGCGTCCGATGCGCCACAGAGTTGGATCCGAGCGGACCCGGCCCGTAAGCGGTGCCCCGAGGATCCGGGACCGTTGCTGGTGTCCTCGGCACCACAGATTAGGATCCGGGCGGACCCGGTCCGTGAGCGGTGCCCCGAGGACCCGGGACCGTTGCTGGTGTCCCTCGGCACCACAGATTAGGATCCGGGCGGACCCGGTCCGTGAGCGGTGCCCCGAGGGACCTCCGTCGGGACCTTTGCTGGCGTCCGCGGCGCCAAAGAGCTGGATCCGGGCGGACCCGGTCCGTGAGCGGTGCCCCGAGGGACCTCTGTCGGGACCGCTGTCGGGACCTCTGGCGGTGACACGTGACTAGCACTGCCATGATATAACGTCCGTGGTCTCGTTTTCCGGCTTCGTGGTTCCGTTAGCGACCAAGGCCCTAAACCCGATGCCCTCCGGCAAGAAGAGGAAAGCACGGCCGCTATAGTATATGGGAGGTGGTAGCTGGAGTGTGGGTCCGAACATAGCTCGGAGTGGTCAGCAATCGGCAGACGGACTCTGCTCACAGGCTGTCTCACGATGGCTCTCAGCCAGCAGACGGACGCTGCTCACAGGCTGTCTCACGACGGCTCTCAGCTGGAATACACGTCTTTTCTCTCGGGAAGAGACGTGTAAGACTTTTCCAGGGGAGAGGTGCTTAAGCCCCCAGTTTACGATCTGATCGTCAAGGCACCGTCGCATCAACTTGACTATCAATAGCTTGATCCTGGAGTAGAGTATCCTGTGTGATGGTCCTGATCATCAGTCGATGCTGCCACGGAGAACCCGCATCATTGGCTGCAGGGGCAAGCTGGAGACGCGTCGCGTTCTGATGACCTCGCCACCCTTCAGGCGCGATCACGAGGGCCTGGTCTCCGCCGTCCCGTCTCGGAGGAGCGCTCCCTCAGTGGCGTCAGGCGATAATACTGGGTCCTGTCGCAAATGCTGTCAGGGTCTCTTTATAGTCTCTTGTGTGGAGTGAGCATGCCAGTCGTGTTTGAGGTGTTCCATGCTTGGTGAAATGAGCTCATGAGCTCGTGACTAGGTAGGTTGTTTTCTGGCAAAAATGTAACAAAGCTGACTAAAACGGGGATGTGGAAAGCAACGGTAACTGGTAGTTAGGTCGTCATGCATCATTGCAATGAAAGGGAATATGTTCGAATTCACGTAACATAAATGGAAACAAAGGGCTTATCGCAGAGCAATAGCATTCCTCCGAACAAGCTAAATAAAGCCACTAGAAAGACAAATGTGGGAATCATATTCAAGTGACAGCATACAAAATTACAGAACAAACTGTATGATCAGCAAAGTGATGGGAACCAGCTCTAAAATGCGGTATAATGGGAAGGAAATGAAAATTCCTTAACTCTGTGATTGATTGAGTCATTCCACGAGAACTTGACCACAGGATAACACGGCACCATCTCCAGATTTAACGAGGACATGTCTATGAGGCAATTTATACAAAAACACGACTATGCAAGTTTTATTAGCTACTGAGCGTATCAATAAGAAACGCGGATCAGATGAATATGTGCAAGAACGTCGTAAACGCTACTTGTTAAATTGCTTTAAGTTGCGCTCTAATCAACACAAACACTAATGTGTCCACGCCGAGTGACCGCAGAGACGTGCTATGGGAGCTCTGCGCTACTGCACCAGCATCACGCCATCGAAGGCACAACTACGCCGAGTGGCCGCAGGGACGTGCTATGGGAGCGCTGCGGTACTGTACCATCATCACGCCATCGAAGGCTTCAGTCACTTGGCGCCAGTTCCGTAAACTCACCCCTAGGCCACAACGACTCCGCGGTATTAAAGAGAAACGTCTATCCACGCAGAGCCTCCCGACCACCTCGCTAGCCGCTTGGTGGGATCGTTACAGAAAATGTGACCGCACGATTCATCAGATCAGCCATCAGCACCGCTATTCCCCGGCGTCGAGCGCGCCCGGACCTGGCATTTCTACTTAAATGCACAAATCTGTTTTCACTATCGTTTAACATAATCGCGCTCGTTTCCACCGGCGCGTCCAATTTCCATCCAACTTTCGGTTTCACTGAGAGACTAGGGTTAGCCGGTCGTTCGCCTGCAGTATTTTGAGTGGATTCATTTATTCTGAATACGTTTACATCACACCCTCCTGCCACCGACAAATGCTTTGGGTAATTCAGTCCAGAAACCCAATGGACTTTCGCTCTCGGCAGGGCAGCGGATGCGCATAATACGCTTGAAGCACCATCGGTTTGGTCTGAAGTGATTACGCTTCAGTTTTTCGGCGTTTATGTTTCGCGTGTGGTGTACATCATCTGTCAGCATAATGGTTTGCCGTATTATCTCTCTCCGTTCTGACCCCGCGCCGAGCGCAAAGGTCAAAAGCGAAAACGAAACCCCAGGCATGCGGGCGGCGGTAGAAACGTTCGAGGTCCCCGACGATAAATGGAGATTGGCGCGGATTTATGGCCTCATGTCGTCGCTCCTCTCCGTTTTCCCGAAGGGTTCCAAGCATGCGTCACCGGAAATCCACGGATGCCAACGCTGCCCGCACAAATGTCGCAACGAATCTGGTACACTATCAGATGCCACAAATCGGCTCCGTTCACGGTCCGCGGCGACAGCCTAAGGCTCAGCGTCGAGTCATGCGCGATCGCCCCGCCCCGGCCGCGATCGTGTGATGCAAGGGTAATTCACCGCGAGGGCTCCGACGCGGCCCCCCAGCACGGCTCAGCGGCGAGCCGGGGCACGGCCGGGCGCCTATCTGATGACCGCGCACCACGGCGTGCTCGCTCGGGATCACGGCCCAGGCGGAGCGGGCGGTGCCAGCGACGAGGAAACATCGCACGATGCATCTGTTGCGTGTGTTCGGGCTGTTACTGGTGGGGTAATGAGGTATGTACACGTTCTCGCATTTTCATGGATGGTTTGTGGTTACGTTAACATTGGGAGCGGTGTTTGCGCATCACGCACAGCGACGTGATGGACTATTAAAAGGTCAGAAGAGCAGCAGCAAGAGATTATTGGTCCTGATGTTAGGAATAATTAATTCACTGGCTTCAGTCCTTATGAATTCAACTTGATCACTCGCATTTAGACAAGTGATCGCACAAAACCAGTCCATGCCGCAATGGTATCCAGCAGGTATACGTCGGAAAAGTGAACCACTTACAAACAATATTTGTGCCAGACGGTATTCTGAATGATGTCACTCCAGTATTATTGCGTTCAACATTTCACAACTAGCGTCAGACCTGTCGTCCTCCGCCCCGGGCTCGTATTCTAGCGTGACCTGCCCCCCCCCCCCCCCCCCACCCCACCCTCGTCCGCTTCCCAGCCAGTCGTCCTTCCACCCTAGCCTACCTCCCATTCCATCCTGTCTCCCACACCAGCCTGTCTTCTATCGCCGTGTCTTCTATGTCTTCTCTGTCTTCTATGTCTTTTATCGCCTATTGAACCCAGCCCGGCTAACGCTCAGCATACCCCTCACCATGCCTACCTCCTATCCACAGCCTGCGTCGAGCCGAGTCCATCTCCCAACTCCGGCCTGCCTGCCACCGCCGCCTGCCTTCCTCCTGACCCCCTGACCCCATCCTGCCTCCCACCATGCCTACCTCCTGGCCACAGCCTGCAGCGAGCCGAGTCTATTTCCCACTTCCGGCCTGCCTGCTACCGCCGCCTGTCTCCCTCCTGAACCCCCTGACCCCAGCCTGCCTCCCACCATGCCGACCTCCTGGCCACAGCCTGCCTTACGCCAAGTTCACCTCCCACTCCGGCCTGCCTCCCACCGCCTCCTGCCTTCCTCCTGACCCCCCTGACCCAAGCCTGCCTCCGAAGCCAGCCCCAGCCGGCGCCGAGGACTCGCTCTCACCTCTGGACCGGACCAGTTTCACTGGGCGCCGGCCGGCCAAAGCTCCACCGAAAGCGAGAGCGTCGGGTGACCCTGGGGTCACCGCGGCGGGCGAAGGGCCGCGGGGCACCGGCGCCGAATCCGCAGCCGGTCAGCGGCTGGCCGTGCGGTCATGACCTGGGACTGCGGGCCGAGGGGGGGGGGGAGAGCGCGGAGTCGGCCGATCAGGTCAGTCCGAAGGTACTGCTGGTCTGCTGCGCTGACGGATCGGCTGCTGTTCAGGGTGCGAAGCGCTTCAAACGTGATGTCACCCAGTGCATGGTCTGCCGGCCGCGCTGAGCGCGTAAACTAATATTGTTTCGACTTGTGGATGCATTGCGTGGGTTGGCTTGGGCTGCGGTTTTGAGAGTCGATGAGCCCTGAACGGTTTCCGACTTTTCGTTATTTTTATCGGGTTCAGCTGTGTTCTGCCCCGATCTTTCTTGCCCTTGGCTTCAGTCTGTGGTTTTGTGGCGAGCAGCTGCAGTGGCTGGAGAACTGAAGCCGCTCTGGCTCAGGCCCGTTATCATCCCAGTGAAGACCCGTTCGATGTGATGGCTCGAGCCTTGTTCAAACACGTTCGAACATCGGTGGTCAGTTTATTTACAGTGATTGAGAGTGAGCAAGTTGAATCACAAGCCTACGTTTATTTCAACAAACCGATGACTACAGCAAGTATATTACAGGGTCACAGAGCACATTCTCTCAAACAAATTAAACCACCACTACATCTGAAACTGGCTGACGTGCGGAAAAGTTTCCGATTACCATGAAACTGCAATGGCCAAGGCTCCAGCTCAGTCACGGCATTTGCAAGCCCTGCAAGTAGCTGAGGTCACAAGAATGAGATTTAATCACATATCTATGTATTGCTCCGTGTAACGTTATCGCTAAAGTTAGCGTTAACGTTAACGATAACGCAACGTTATCGCTAATGTTAACGTTATCGCTAACGTTAACGATAACGCAACGTTAACGCTGATGTAACGTTATCGCTAACAGCTGCATATTATGCGTCCATTGCATCATGAAGACCCCGTGCAGACACCGATAGACATTTCATGCTATCTGAATAAAAAGACAAACAGTTTCAGCGACTTATTGTAGCTACGTCTACGCACATGACTTCACAACATGACCCACAACTACTCAAACCTTTTCATATAGGTAGTCATGATTAAGCCGACCGATAAGGGCAACATATGAAACATATTATGCATCACTCGCTCAATCACTGTCGCACCGCCGCGTGTTTTGGACATTGCTCGAGCTATTGCACCCAGCTAATTGGAAAACAATGTTCAGAGCCGCGGTTGGGTCGGGCGCTCATTGCACGGGTCAGGGCAGCATTCACACCTTCAAGAGCACTCAGCCAGCGCGAAAATGACTACTCCAGCGGATCCACTTCAGCCCGGTTGCTCACTCTTCCACTCGATCGAGGTCATCACATGACATGGACTTATTTGACCTGAAACACACATGGGTGCGTTACGACAAACGAACTTGACGACGTCACACCCAGGAGAACCTGCTGTTGTTCAGTGTGTACGGTAAGCATCTGATGCGGTCAAATAATCTGAGAGATACTGAAAGTAGCATGATAAGTAGTCTTCACGTACCATCCAGACCAATAGCTCGGATCAGCAAGTATAACATGCCTGAGCGCTCGCAAATGATACCCGACTTTTCATGCACTCATCTAGTAACACCTTCTCACGTCTTTTAATCGTAGATCGCAATCCGCGAGGCTTGCTACAGCAGAGGTTTTGTTTTCTGTTGACTGGTGACCTCCATCGTTAGCATACAGCACACGAATAGCGGCGTATGCCTCACGGCTCGACCTTTCAGCTCTCCTCCAGCCGGCGGAACGGTACATTGTCTCCAGCGCCGGCCGCGCGCCGCTGGAACAACCTTGATCTACAGGTGCTCTTGACAGTCCCGTTACTCTGATTCAACTTTTCTGAGAGGAAGATTCCTACGAAGTGTGGGAGCAGAGGCCTTGTTTCTCAATCGCGATTCTGTCCGTGGCCGTGATGTCTGAGCTAGGACTTATGTTTTCCTCGTGTCCACCCTGCGGCAGCACGAAAAGGAGCCAATGGGACGGCGTCAAAACGATGGAACTTTAAAGTAGCATAGGCACGACCGACTGAATGCAGGCCGCAACAAATCCCCACTTGCGTCGAACTTAGTGAGTTTTACTTGTGCGAACGAAATTTATGTGAACTGCCGCATCGCGTACGAAAACATCCCTGGTCTTTGAAGATTATTGAGGTAGGCTAATTTATTCACGTCACTTTAGAGCAGCCTGAAGTGTCTAAGGGGCACTTCTTCCCAGCCATGTTCAGGAACCTCGGTGCTGATCAAATGATGAACAAAATTTAAAGAGGGTTTCGGAACAATGACAGGCGAGTCATTTGTATGGAGATCGTCGTGGGGGCCGGTCGGAGCAGGCCGGGCCCCATGGTTGTAAACGCGATGGCAGGATGGCTAGTCCACCGTTCAAACACCCGCCGCCTCCGTCACAAACACTTGCGGAGAACTGGACGGTGAGGACGACCGCCAATCTGGCGGCCCCGAGCCGGAAATTACACGGCCCCGGCGCTCGGCAGACAATCAGAAGCGTCATAAAGTAGCACCCGGAGTGCCGACGAGTGCCAGCGCCATTTCCTGTGTGGAGGCGCTGACGTGTCCATCACAGCCGAGGTCAGGAAGCTGGCTGGCCGGGGTCTGTGGACCCTCTCACAGACTGGGACAACGTACATGACCCCGGGGCAAGTCAGACAGCTGATGAGCTGGGGTGATACTTCTACTGAGAGGCTCGCAGGGTTAGTGGGTAGCGTTTATGGTCTTGTAAGCCTTGCATGGCTATGTAGATGGCGATCCGTGTGCTATCACCGACCCTGCCTGACGTAGTCACGGCCTGTTAGCCATGAGCCGTGTTAAGACGCATACCTGGGCCCGGCCGACGGCTCTGGCAGCTCTGAGCGAGCGGTCGTCGGCGGGACACCAGTCAAGCCGCGCCTGGCCGGCAGGTTCGCCGGAAGTCCGGCGCGCCGCCGTCTGGATCTGGATTTGGAGCTGCCCATCGCGGGGCAGATGGCCGCATTACCGTGAGAATCGCGCCGCGTGATAGCCGGGAAACGGCGGGGCTCATTTGGACGATCAGGTGGAAATGCACAAGGTAATCCGTCTGGAGACTGCAGCACCTGGCGCCTGCTTCCCATCCAGAAAAGGACAAAAACGACACAGAAGTTCTCATAGCAAACGCGCGGTCTTCATTTCTAATCCTCAGCCGCCGTGGGAAACAGATAAATGTGGTGGGATTCAAATGCACGCCACGCGGACTACTTTCGCTCGCACTGTTCTGGATAAAGGGTAGCTTCATGAGCTCCTTGTGTTGTGTTGGGCGCCTATGTGAGCCAACAGTGCTACGGCCGAATTTCGAAGCGCGCCGTCGCTGCCGCCGTAAAGTGAGCCAAGTGAGCGATCAAACGGCTCGGGCCCTAACAAGCCACATCCGCGCGTAAACGCAGTGGAGCGAGTCTGATGGCTGAAATTGACCACGGCGACAGTCAGACAGAGACGATCGTTCGACAAGACGAAAAAAAGGGACGAGACAAATGAAAGGTGTGCCGCGGGTCCCATCGATTTGCGGCGCCGAGGCTCGTTCATTTTTTGGCACGTCATGTGGGGACCGTGGTTGGTTAAAGATGACTCGGAAAGGGATGCCAACGACCTAGGTACAGTCATGGTCGGCATGCTTTGTTATCGGAGGATTCGCAGGATGTAGCGAGGAATGTCACAGGAATGTGCCACGTTGTCCACCGCCTCCTGTAAGTGTGTGCATCCGAGACTTTTGGCACAGGTGCATAACATTGCGGTGCATCGTCGAAAGCGACGCAAATGACAAGAAGGACGAGAACAGCACCAAAATACCGGTACGGAGCCATACCACAGACTGACACGACCTCCAGACTTCAAGCGGCGGAGCCGGCCGATTGCGTAGGTCGGCAATTTGACCCCGGCCGCCGCGGGGACCGGCCTTGAGCGGTGTCGTACGCCGGGTGTCGGCGCCGTCCGAGGAGCGTCCCGGCGTCCCGGCGTCCCGGCGTCCCGGCGTCCCGGCGTCCCGGCGCGGCCGGCGGCCCAGACCGTCCTGCGCGCCGGCCGCAGCCCGTTCCCGTGGGAGTCGGATGAGAGATGAGGCGGCGGTGCGTGACCGTGAGATGGCCGACCGTGGGCCGTGACCGAGCCAGCGGCGGCCCGGCCAACGGGTTGGGGTGGGACGCGCCCACCGGGGACGCTGCAGGACGGGGAGCGACGCGGCCTCGAGCTCGTTTGGTGTGCCTCGCTTGGCACGTTCGTACATACTGCCTCGCGCGGGAGGTCGTCGAAATCCTTTTCAAAGATGGTTCTAACCCAAGAGCCATTGCTTTCAGTCCAGTTCCCACCATCATGCCATTGACAGTGTGTGTGCCTAGTCAGAAGGTTCTATAGGCTTTGTCTTATGAGATCGGGTAAAAATCATTTTTTGCTGTGACTGTGAGATAAAACTCTTGGCTTTGGGACACATTTTACACAGGGCCGGTAATGTATATAGCACCTGACAACGCGGTCCGTATTACATAAATACACTCAAACCTTTGCGCCTATGTTATGGTAGCGATCTCTGGACCATTCAGACGCTTTTTGCGGAGTAGGACAGGCGAAACGATAGCAGATGTGACGACTGACGGTTGTTATCACATAGATGACTCAGGGAGCTAATGCAGCCTGACATCGGCACCCGAGGGCAGTGGTTCCTATCATTGCGTGGGAAAGACTATCTTCCATGGCAATTAAGCATGCGGAGGTCTGGCGATGCGCACCCGCGCACTAATTCACGACTGCCATTGATTAAACAATGATCAACGATGAATCGGTTCCGGCTCGCAGATTCTTATCGACATCAATCAATTTGCCATGGTTTGCGGTTTTGGCGGCTGCGGCCAAAGCGTTGTAAAATACGTTAACATTTTTAGCAGTTGTTAGTCGCCATAGACGGGGCCGCACGCCTGTGTAGCTTCTGTGGCCCGATCCTTCTGCTTAGTCCCCAGTATTTTGTATTCGAGATCGGCTTGGAAACGGTGACATTTTGGTGGCTCTCCGCTCAACTAGAGCTGCACCCGCGGGTCAGAAGGGTCCGAGATCCGTTAGTGGGTCGCGGCCGGCACAATCCCCTTTCGCCGTGCGGTAGGATTCACTTCCACATCGCTTCCGGTTGCTGCGATCTGACGTCACCTCCAAGCGGGCAGTGACGTGGTTTGCGGTTTGAGAACGCACGACGGTTTGCCACATTAACGCCTGCTAGTTTGCCAAGGTAGTTTTCTGCATGTCTTCTGTCGGAATCAGTTGGTAACGTAGATCTACATCACCGTATTGATGTAATTTTTCCCGGTTTCTATCTGTTGTTCTGAGTTGTTTATTTAACTCGAAAACTTCACCTTTTCTACGTTAATTGAAAGGAGCGGCGGGGTCATGGTGATATCACGGTGTTGCAGAAAAACTTACCGGCCGAAACATCTACGTGCGTATGCTAGCAAATTGCATAGTGCTAGTAAAAAGTCGAAGTTTTTGTTGCTGAAACGTGCAAGATCTGCGGTCGGTGGTTTGCAAAGACAGAAGCTTACAAGCTACCAGCGTCGTGCATTCCGGAACCGGAAGACGTGACGGTCGGACCAGGCCACTTCTTCGACCAGCGGCCGTGTCGCAATCAACCTGCAGTCCCACTTTTTATCATTCCCGTCAGCTTCAGGCCGCGCACAAAACAGCGTGTCACTGCTCACCTCCTTTTGCCGGCCTGTTCCCTGCGGGCCACGTAGAGCAGCACCTGCCCCGACCTGACCGACTTGAACACGACCACGGCCTCCGCGTGCGACAGTCCCTGCATACTCTCCCCCGTTCACCGCCAGGATCTCGTCCCCTGGAAACGAGGTCAAAGAGCGCTACGATCACTAGGTTCGTAACACGAATACAGCAACAACGGCTGTCAGTAAGGCACATTCGCAGTGCCCGTGATTTCAGCCCTCCCTCTAGACTTCGGGCTGCTGTGACCGCTATCCTTCCCCCGGACCCTCCCTTCCCGTGATCGATATCTGCGCCCTGTTGAAAGGGCGTGTCCCCCGCGGCCCGCTGTGTGGACGGGCGAGCGGGCCCGCGCCAGCTGATTAATGGGCCTGTTAACAGGCACGCATCGGCGGTCTGGCCAGCGGCCCCACGAGGCGCGCCCCGGCGTCGTAACGAGGTCACCTGGCGCCCCTCGCGGGCCCCTCCGGCGTGCGTGACGTAACGCGCGCCGCTGGTGGAGATGCCCGATCGCCGATAGCGGCGAGAGTGTTGGGACAGACGCCATCCATTAACGCCAGTTAGGCGCTGATCCGTCCAGATTATGCCCACATCGGCGCCATTACAAACCTTCCGATTATTGTAATCACGGCTTTCCTCCCTTCACCGGGCGCGTTCAGAACAGAGATGTTGGGTACTCATAAGCTGTTTAGAGCGCTGCACATATGAGAGATTTCGTAAGGCAGTACGCGGCTGAGAGCCATACAACCAGCCGTAACCATCGTAAGCCAGCCATACAACTCATTATCACGTGGTTATCACGTAACAAACGTTTAAGAAAATATTGGTATGGGTGCCAACAGCTGAAATACTGGTCCAAGCGCTCGGTTATCTAAAAGCATCCGTAGTTAATCTCTTGTTGGAATAACTGCTGTTACACTAACCTTCCTTGAGCCTGTTATCTTCTGCAGCTTGTCCGTTAGGGAAGACCGTCTTTACAAAGATTCCGATGCTACCCTTGGGTGAATCCCTGCCGCCCACGATGCTGAAGCCCAGGCTCTTCTTTCCAGCTCCCTTTCAAACTTGATAGTCAGCAGAGACGGTTGTCAGAGACTTGGGTCTCCGGGACGTTCCCGATCCGGATGACCTGGCGCCTGACCTCTGGTCATGGCGCCTGCGCAGTAACTCCCGCACTGACGATGCCGACTGGATGCTGGAGACAGAGTACCCCGAAACGCCCGGAGAGCACCGACTCTGGCCGCTGGTGCTCTTCCGTTTCGGAGGCGTCACAAGGCTCGGAGCCCACGGCCGGGTACTCGAGCGAGTCGTCCGGGTCATCGGCGTCGTCTCGTGCCGTCGCCGCTCCGCTGCTGTCCGGCACAGAGATGACCACCACGTGCTGGCCGGCCTGCTGCTGGCTCAGTCGGTCCGGGTTGAAGTCCCGGGCTATGACGATGTCCAGCTCGGGCGAGGGGTCGCGCAGGATGTCCAGCACCGTCTCGAGGGCACAGCCGCGCAGCCGTCGGCCGTTCACGTTCACTATCTCGTCGCCCACCTTGAAGCGCCCGTCCTGAGAACAGAACAGATCAACTGATGCAGGTGTAACTAATCGACATGATCTATAGCACCGTTCAATGCGGTATTTGATTTGTAAACAGTCAAAACATTATAACGAGCGAATCCAGGTTGACTTTAACCTTGCAATGGCGCCGTTGGTCTCCATCTCAGCGATGAGGTAACCGTGTTGGACGTTCCTGGCAATGAAGATACCCAGCGAGTCGCCGTCCCGCCTTCAGGACGCGCAGCATCTTGAACTGTTTGCTGGTGAAGTCGGCCGGCAGCGAGGGCAGCGACGGCTGGCTGGGCCAGACCGCCGTTCGTCTGTCCGATGTGACCTGTGGAGCGGGGCCGGGCCGGAGGGCGGCCCGTCTCCCGCGGCTCGCGCGGTGCCCATCCGAATCCGACCGCGCGTCGGGCCGCCGCGTCGGCCGGCCGGTAGCCACCGGACGGATAGCCCTCCGCCCGGGGGGGGTGTTGATATCCCTCGGGCCGGGTGTGGGGGGTAGCCCTCCGACCGCCGGTGCGAGAATTCGTCTGCCCGAGAGCGAGAGTTGAAAGGCGGGTGGTCTGGTCTTGGTCCGGGTTATCTGGACGCAGGCCGGAGAAGCGTGGGCGCCCGTGCAGAATGTCGCCGCTGCTTCGTCGCCGCGGCCCCTCCTCGTCGCCTCACAGAGTGCACGGATCTCCGGCTCCGAAGGATCTCGTCGAACGAGGAATGGTCCCAGGGCATTGAAAGTCTGGGTGGAGATTTCGCTCACCTGGTCCTCTGATCAAGGATCTCCGCGGGTGGCTTCGTCGGTCGTTTCTTGTGCTGCATGTACCTGCGCTGCGAATTCGGCCTCTCGGTGCTCGGGGGCGGAGAGACGCTGCCAAATCGTCCGTCTTCCCGTCTTTGGGCTGGCGTAGGATGGTGTCGCTTGTCTTCACTGGCGAGGGGAGAGTCGTCGCTCCGCTTGCCGCCCACGTAACGTCTTGGGGCCGCAGCTCCCTGGGGCTTGTTCGATTCGTCATCCGAGGAGGACGTGCCGAGTGGAGCAACATCAAAGAGAGCTCGTCGCGTCAAGCCTCTTAGTGGAGCTGTTGGGACTCTCCCCTCCTGAGGACCGTCTTGCCGTTGATCCCCCTCGTGCTACCCCCGGCGGCGAGTTCCTTCACTTCTTCTGGTGCCGTCGCTGTCGTAGCCAGCTCTCATCGAGCAGGCGTAGGTATTGAGCGGCAGCTTTCATGGCATAGGTCTATCAACCACTGTTGCATCTCCTTGACAAATTTTAGCGGTAGTCTACCCGTGAGTGCTCTTCTGTGGGGGATCGGTGCGTAACTAGACCTACCCCAGTTTTGGACAGGACCTGTTGCTTCATTCCCCCCTGTTGTGCTCATGTGTGGTTTTGTTTATCTCATGCGCCTGAGGTAGTCGTCTGGGGCCCTTTGAGCCTCCTAAAATCCCTTCATGGACTCCTCGATCGGATATCACCGATCGTGACCTTCTCCGCCTCCCAGGCATTTCCCGGGCCTCTTCGAGGCAACGCGGACAGAGGGTGAGAGGCATCGTCCAGGCGCCCTGTCTCCGGTATTCGCTTTTTCGCCGAACATCCACCCATATTCTCGCAGATCACCGTCTTGGTGGGCAGGTATGCCGACTGGCTCCAGGGGTCTCCTGCGCCACATGGCCGGACTGCTTCTTCACGTACCGTGATGGTGGGAGTTGCATGATGTTCAGCTGGCTGGTGGAGGCGCTCTTGTAGAGGCTGACGCTGCGCTTTACGGGCCTCGAGGGCCGCGGCGCGTGCTCCGCCTCCTCTAGCCCCTGTCGGAGCCGCGCCGCTCCTTGGACGCGAACCCCCCGCGCCGCGGCATCGCCGGCAGGCGGAACAGGTTGCGGATGCTCTCCACGCGGTCGAGCCGCACCCGCCGCTCCGAGCGGAGACTGTGCGTCTCCGGGTCAGGATCGGAGACGCGCCACCGCCGCCGGCCCGAGCTGGGGCCGCTGATCTGCTCGCTGCTGCCCGACCGGGTCAGACGCGACAGACGGCGGCCCACGCGGCGACCCCAGGTCGACGACTCTGGAACGAAAGGCAACGTAGGTTTGAGGCTACAAAGTTATCTAGAGAGTGCGAAAGGAAGGGGTAAAGGGAAAGATGTGTGTGAGAGAGGTAGAGAGAGAGAAAAGAGAGAGAGAGAGAGAGAGAGAGGAGAGGGAGGGAGGGAGGAAGGGAGGAGGGAGGGAGGAGGGAGGAGGGAGAGATAGAGAGAGAGAGAGAGGGAGAGAAAGAGAGAGAGAGGGAAAAAGGGGAGAGAGAGAGAGAGAGAGAGAGAGAGAGAGAGAGAGAGAGAGAGAGAGAGAGAGAGAGAGAGAGAGAGAGAGGCGAAAGGTGGAAGGGAAGCAAATCTCAAATGTGTAATGACCTCCAAGATAGCGCAAGCCAGCCGCTGTCCGCGCCACATGTTTTTACATGCGCCGTCGTTTTGTGATTACTTTCATTAGCGCACACGCTGTAGTTGTCATGACAAATACTGGTTAACTACTATTCTTTGATGTTATCAGGAGAGAGAGCGGGATCAGAATCCAGTTCAAATGCGTTCTTAGCACACAGGTTTCTAATGCGGACATTCCCTTATGGTGACTGCATTACTTTGCTGCACGTTTATAAAACGTCTCTCGGCGTGGTCCAGCGCAGACCATGGCTCGTCAAGTGCTCGCCGACTCCATCCCACTTTTCACTCAGAGTTATGGTCAGCCCGACCGCAGTCGGCACGCGCCGTCATCGCAGCGCTGCATGCAGACGAGCGGGAGTCGCCTCCGTCCACACGGCGCGTCAAGCGCTGCGGTCTCTTCGGAAATGCCGGTCGCGCCGGCCGCGCCCACGCCGGCGACGACCGGCCGACTTCAGGTGGGAGTCGGCGGGCGGCCGGCGACGACCGGCCGACGTCAGGTGGGAGTCAGCGGCAGGCACGACCGGCGACGTCCGCGGAGACGCCGCTCTGCTCCGCTGGCGGTCTGCGTTCACCATCGCGGAGCTGGTGGGATGGCTCGACGCGAGGCGGCGGTGCGCGGACTCGTTTCGGCACAAGGGTGCGTGCGCTGCGCAGTGGCAGTGTAGTGCATGCAGCTACCCTCAACGGTAGCGGCGGCGTGAGGCCCCTATCAGCTCATGTTGGCGGTGCTGCAGTCATCACTCATTCACTATGCTGAAGGTCACACAGTCGGCGCAGCGCACGTTGCCGCTCTGC